ATAATGAATGGACCAGTCCGTGGTTATCATTCTGAACACAGCGATTCACTCAAACAGGTGTTGTTCATTTTTGACAGTTGAAAGAAACTGTCAACCGCGTTCTTTTGTGTACTGATCACAAATGTGAGTAGTACCTCACAACACAGAAAATGGGGAAAATAAATATGTGAGGTAGTCGGTCCAGTTCGTAAGGCTGCATTGAAAGGAGAACGGCGTGAAAACCAGTTCCGTAGAAATGCTGGTTTGCTTAGACTTTCAATAGCATGTGAGAACTGACTGAAAGAAATGAAACGAAGTTTGCGGCTACAGAAGGTAATTGTCATTTGGTAAACAAAATATCCAAGTGAGCCAGGCAAGACGCTGGAGCGAATCCCGCAGCGGTAATTTGTGGAACTGACAGCATTCGCTTGGGAAGAAAGCAAGTGTTTTTTGGAAAAGCCCAGCGAAATGGTTTCTTAATACCCGAGTTTCCTCGTTGCCGGTGAATGTAGACCATCTTTTGGCTAGCGAATTTCGACTTATATGAAGTCGATTGAGATTCTTATCGAAAGCGATGAACGCTCTAACGGCAATGTGTAGTTTCCAAATCTACACATGGGTTTTACATCAAATTTGTTTTAGAGTCGATCCAGATCATCGAATAGTTAACACGTCAAACCTACCCCCCCCCTCCCTTCCTCCCTTCTTCATGTCGAAATTTGGATTCCACACTAATTGGTGAGCGTGTTGTGATAATTTTATGTTTGCGTGTGTCAGAGGCCGAGAGGAAACAGCGTATCGGTGCTTCCACTGGTTTTCCACAGTTCAGTGCCATACTTCATGGGCTTGACGGATGAAACCCTTATCATAAAGGATGCATATTGCTGTCATTGATATGTCTCGTTGTCTGAGAAATCCAGGAGGCATAGTAAAGTACAATATATGAACCAGAGAACGATTTAATCTTAACACGGTATGCCTTGATGAGCGTGTACGAAAAGTAATAATATTTCTGAAGGTTCAAATTTATCAATGTGATCACAGTTGCTATTACCAATGGACAGTACTGCGCCGGACTGAGCAACACGCGAATGTGGTAGGGCGATGATCAAATCCGAAATTGATTCAATACGTACTCGAGAGGAGTTTCCATGTTCCCAGTGAGCATAGATCAACCTGTCGACAAACTATTTCATGTGAACTTGCGAACCAACCCATTGATTGGAGCAGTAGACGGGACAAAGAATATTCTTGTGTCTTCAACACTGTTTGTCTGTTCAGATGTAGATAGATGTGAGTAATCTATCCCTTCGAAGGCCTGTGATCTCACCATTCGTGCTGATGCGGGATCATGATTACTTATTAGAGAACGATCATCATGAACCATGAATCATAGGCCGAACGCTCATAATCAGGCTGATTGTGATAATCGAATACATACATACATACATACATACATACATACATACATACATACATACATACATACATACTGACATACATACATACATACATACATACATACATACATACATACATACATACATACATACACTGACATACATACATACATACATACATACATACATACATACATACATACATACATACATATAGATAGATAGATAGATACTTTTTCATATTTTTCATTTTTTATTTCCTTTTATTGAAGAGGGTAGCGGCCAATCAAAGGGCTGCCATACAGCGCACATTGAATAGGGAAAATCAGGCGATGGTCGTGGTCGCGATGGTGTTAGTGGGGCCCGAACAAACGTCCCCCGTTGGGTAACAATTTAGTGAGGTTTTCACTGGGGGACCAGCGCGACAAAAATTTGTAGCCACGAGGCCGATCAACAAGCAGTGGGATGACATATATTTTCTGATACCTTCGTGCAAATCTTTGAAGTTATTACTTATTGTGCGCACATAGTTACGCGTTTTTGGCATCAGGCTTACCCAAGTGACTAACTTTACTCGCTTTATACATACCATCAGGTTTGAATTCACATGGATTATGTGCTTTATGAGAACTAGGTCGATTGTGGCAGGGGTGAATAAAATAGTTTGCAGGCACTGTGATATCCACCTTACCGTGGAAAGAAAAGAAGCAAATTCGAAGACAACAGTCAACGGGCATACTTGCCAGTCTTCTAGTTTTCCGGTCAATGGAGATGTGGAAAGCAAATATTTCAGTCAGAAAAACATTGACCACCATCATTGGTTGGCACAATATAACCGGAATATTATTTTTTATAGAAAAGTACATGGGAACCACACACACACGCACTCAGACACACACACAAGCAGTGTGCACAGTATCAGTCAGTGATTATGAATGAGTGAGCAGCCTTGGGAAATTTGAAAAGTGTTTTATTGCTGATGGTTCGCAGGGGTGAATATTAATTTCATCTTGCCCATCCGAATTTGAGACATCCTTTTCAATGTCAACTGTTAGTCAGATTGCATTTTATCCGCGAGACTAAATGAGCAAAATGCTGTGATAGCAATCAATTCTAGTATTACATAATGAATATGTGGGAGTTCTAATGAATCAGACTGGAAAAGTTTCAGATCGCTACCGCAATAAAACTGGACCCAAGGTTTCCTCGCCCCCGGAACCGCCCCCTCCCCCCACCCAACCATT